TTTATTATTTTGTGCCAAGGACACATAACTTTAGTTTTAAAACAATTTTCACATGATGTTGATTTCACAATCTATCTAATACATATTTGAATGAGTAGTTAACACCCAGAAACGCCCAGAATACGTTATTAATGATGATGGAAATAAATATTGTACATTATTAAAGTAGAAACTGCTATGCAGACGCTCTTGTGTCCACGTCAGTTTCTCCAGCATTATGTTATCTGGGTGCACCGAAACCTTTTTCTTCTAGGATAAGTGTGGTATTGAATTTAATTCTATCTACGACAGTGGGGTGCAGAGCTGACGGGGTGAGCTGAAGGGCTCAGAGGGTGGGGTACAGAGCTCATTGGATGGGGTGCAGAGCTGAGAGAGTGGGTGTAGAGCTGACAGAGTAAGTTTCAGAGCTCAGGGGGTGGGTGCAGTGGCTAAGGGGAGTGTGGTCTACAGCTAAGAAGGAGAGGCGCAGAGGCCAGGGAGAGGGGTGCAGAGCTAAGGGGATGGATGCAGAGCTGACAGGGCAGAGAGTGGGAGCAGAGATGAGGGAGTGAGGTGCAGAACTGAGGGGATGGGTGCAGAGATGAGGGGATGAGGGGATGAGGTGCAGAGCTGAGGGGATGGGGTGCATAGCTGAGAGAATGGGTGCAGAGCTGACAGGGTGAGGTTCACTGCCTAATGGGAGTGAGGTCTAGAGCTAAGGAGAGGTGCAGAGGTCAGGGAGAGGGGTGTAGAGCTGACAGGATGGGGAGTGGGTGCAGAGATAAGGGAGTGAGGTGCAGAACTGAGGGGATGTGTGCAGAGAGGAGGGAGTGAGGTGCAGAGGTGAGAGAATGAGGTGCAGAGCTGAGGGGGTGGGGTGCAGAACTCATGGAATGAATGCAGAGCTAACAGGGTGGGTTTCAGAGCTGACATGCTGGGGTCCCAAGCACAGGCAATTGGTGCAGAGATGAGGGAGTGAGGTGCAGATCTCAGGGAATGGATACACAGCTGAGGAGATGGGTGCAGAGTTGACAGGTTGGGGTGCAGACCTGAGGGGTGGGGACCATAGCTGAGGAAGTGAGGTGCAGAGCTGAGCGGATGGGTGCAGAGCTAAGGAGATGGATGCAGAGTTGACAGCGTGGAGTGCAGAGGGGGGATAGGTGCAGAGGTGAGGGAGTGAGGTGCAGAGGTGAGGGAATGGATACACAGCTTAGGGGATGGGTGCAGGGTTGAGGTTGAGGCAGGGGCGTCCCGAGGCCGGGTGTCACCCGGAACGGTTACCGGGTGACACCCTGCTGTGACTTCATCGCGCATGTGCGTGACATCACCACGTGCATGCGTGATGACGTCATCACGTTTGCACAGCGATCTTATTGTTACCTACCGGCGGACATCTTGGTGAGGGGACAGAGGTGGGGACAGTCACCCAGCGGGATATGGTATGCTGCCTGGTCCCCTCCTCTCTCCTGAAATGGTGGCGCTCTCAAAGGACAGAGTGCCCGACCTTTCAAAAGGGGTGACACGAAAATGACTGTCAGTCATTTTGGTGTAACTCCTCCAATGGTGTCACCCAGGTGTGGGCCGCCCCTCCCTCACCCCCCTTGTGATGCCCCTGGGTTGAGGTGCAGAGCTGAGGGGAAGGGGTGCAAAGCTCAGGGGATGAGGTGCATAGCTGAGGGAGTGGGTGCATAGCTGAGGGAGTGGGTGCAGAGCTCAGGGTTGGGATGCAAGAACTGGTGAGAGAAGCACAAGACTCTGTACAGATCAGTTTACATGTAGCAGTCCCTTCTCTTTCTTCAGGCCCATTATTGGTGGGGTCTACAGTCCTGCTGTAGCTCATATAAAGCAGACAACATGCTGCCTCAGAGTACATTCTTGTCAGGGGCGTCCCGAGGCTGGGTGACACCCGCACCTGCACGCGCGGCAGTATTCTGATACCCGCCGGCGGCCATCTTGGTGATGGACGCCGGCAGAGAGAGGAGGAGACAGCCACCTATCGGGATAAGGTATGCCGCCGGGTCCCCTCCTCTCTCCTGATACTGTTGGGTGTTCGGTCCATGACCGAGTGCCCGACTTTTCAGAGGGGGGTGACACCAAAATGACTGTAAGTCATTTTGGTGTCACCCCTCCAATGGTGTCACCCGCGTGCGGGCCGCACCCCCCGCACCCCCTTGTGACACCACTGATTCTGGTTTTCATTTTTGCTTATAAAATGAATAAACAAGTCTCTATATTAGACAAGATTATTCATGTGTGCCTAGGGCAGCATAACACGACTCCAACCCTTCCCTGACTGTTCTATAAAGACCACACAACAGTCCTTTCTGGTGCACAATAACAACACGCTGTTCTGTTCCTTTAATGCTCATTAAAGGATTTTTTTTGTAGTTTGGTGAAATTGCTTTTAACTCGCAGCAGAAAAAAAGACTGTTTCTCTAAAGTTAAATGGTAAAAACTTAATAGACTTAAATGTGTGTAGCATGGAGGTGCCGACTTCAACACTAGTGTGAAGATAAAGAATAGAAAAGTTCACTTTGACCCGAGGAAGGAGAAAAGGAGAGTGGAAACAAACGCCATTCAAAGGCTACAAGGTAATTAATCTCTGCAGCAGCCTACTGGGTGTTCTTAGTCAATGACTTGGATGGATGGCAACAAAAAGATCTGGAAACAGAGGGATTGTGTAACATCAGACAACTACCCCCCCCCCTTAAAGCTGAATAGTTCACAAATCTTACCGTCCCTTCCTGCCTTTGCCACATTAAAAGAACATGTTATTTTTTCAAACTTACACGGTGTTTGCCAAAATGTTGCCAACAGACGGCCCAGGTGTCAGACTCATAGATGCATTTCTCCTCCACACCCCCATCATGTCACTGATCAGTGAAAGGAGAAGCTGCACACTGATGAGATGATCTTTTTTTAAAAATAATCTGCTGCCTCCTTCAGTCAGCATACTTCTTGCTTTGCAACACCCGATTGACTCTTTGTGCAACTATATACGATGAAGGTTATCAGCATTGAAATGGGAACACAACATTTTTATATATATGAATGTGATCAGCATTGAAATGGGAACACAACAT